GGGGTAATTAGCTACTGGGGTTAATTGGAGCTGTGATTGGAGCCCGTGGTGCCACGGGGGGGGTGTCTGAGAACCTGCCCCAGGGTTTCCAGGAGCCCCAGGAACCCGAGTTGGGACCTTTGGCTGCTCCAGTGGTGCCCGAGGAGGTGGGAACACCCGGAGCCTTCATCCCAGCAAGATCCACCAGGGGTTCTGGTCGTCGCTCCGGGCGGATCCTCCCCCTGGGAACCTTCCTGGGACACCCCCAAAGCCACAGGGCACCCCCCCGAATTCCCTGCTCCCCTTTTCTCTCCCCAGGGTGCACAAGGTCCCATGGGTCCCTCTGGTCCTGCTGGAGCTCGGGGGATGCCGGTGAGTGACTCTGAGCTCCTCTGAGTGCCCAGGGATGGGGTCCCGGGGGGGTGTTGGGTGGGGGTCTCCCACCTGACAGGTCCCCTTGTCCCCTTCCAGGGTCCCCAAGGGCCTCGTGGTGACAAAGGTGAGACAGGAGAGGCTGGAGAGAAAGGGCTGAAGGGCCACCGAGGCTTCACTGGGCTGCAGGGTCTTCCTGGCCCCCCCGTAAGTGTTTTCTTGGGGACCCCAGAGGTGACCCCTCCAGATCCAGAGCTGGATGTGGCTCCGTTGGATGTGGCCGAGGCCCCCAAGGAAGCTCTGAGCTCCTGAGCACCCCTGGGGGTGTCCGTGGAGCTCTGACCACCCCCTCTGGGCTTCCTCCTCAGGGTCCTTCTGGAGACCAAGGAGCTGCTGGTCCTGCCGGTCCTTCCGGTCCCAGGGTAAGTCCTGCCCGTGGGGCTGGGGGAGCTGCCCCATTCCTGGGGGGTCCCAGGGCAGGTTGGCTGGGGCTGGCGCAGCCTGGGCTGGTGGGAGGTGTCCCTGCCCAGGCAGGGGGTGGGACTGAATGGTCTTTAGACCACGGAATGGGTTGGAAGGGACCTTCAAGCCCACCCAGATGCTCCCCTAGATGATCTCCAAGATGCTGCTCCATCCCTGAAAGGGCTCAAGGATCTACCAGGGGTCTTGGAGCAACCTGGGCTGGGGGGAGGGATCCCTGCCCAGGCAGGGGGTGGGACTGAATGGTCTTTAGACCACGGAATGGGTTGGAAGGGACCTTCAAGCCCACCCAGATGCTCCCCTAGATGATCTCCAAGATGCTGCTCCATCCCTGAAAGGGCTCAAGGATCTACCAGGGGTCTTGGAGCAACCTGGGCTGGGGGGAGGGATCCCTGCCCAGGCAGGGGGTGGGACTGAATGGTCTTTAGACCACGGAATGGGTTGGAAGGGACCTTCAAGCCCACCCAGATGCTCCCCTAGATGATCTCCAAGATGCTGCTCCATCCCTGAAAGGGCTCAAGGATCTACCAGGGGTCTTGGAGCAACCTGGGCTGGGGGGAGGGATCCCTGCCCAGGCAGGGGGTGGGACTGAATGGTCTTTAGACCACGGAATGGGTTGGAAGGGACCTTCAAGCCCACCCAGATGCTCCCCTAGATGATCTCCAAGATGCTGCTCCATCCCTGAAAGGGCTCAAGGATCTACCAGGGGTCTTGGAGCAACCTGGGCTGGGGGGAGGGATCCCTGCCCAGGCAGGGGGTGGGACTGAATGGTCTTTAGACCACGGAATGGGTTGGAAGGGACCTTCAAGCCCACCCAGATGCTCCCCTAGATGATCTCCAAGATGCTGCTCCATCCCTGAAAGGGCTCAAGGATCTACCAGGGGTCTTGGAGCAACCTGGGCTGGGGGGAGGGATCCCTGCCCAGGCAGGGGGTGGGACTGAATGGTCTTTAGACCACGGAATGGGTTGGAAGGGACCTTCAAGCCCACCCAGATGCTCCCCTAGATGATCTCCAAGATGCTGCTCCATCCCTGAAAGGGCTCAAGGATCTACCAGGGGTCTTGGAGCAACCTGGGCTGGGGGGAGGGATCCCTGCCCAGGCAGGGGGTGGGACTGAATGGTCTTTAGACCACGGAATGGGTTGGAAGGGACCTTCAAGCCCACCCAGATGCTCCCCTAGATGATCTCCAAGATGCTGCTCCATCCCTGAAAGGGCTCAAGGATCTACCAGGGGTCTTGGAGCAACCTGGGCTGGGGGGAGGGATCCCTGCCCAGGCAGGGGGTGGGACTGAATGGTCTTTAGACCACGGAATGGGTTGGAAGGGACCTTCAAGCCCACCCAGATGCTCCCCTAGATGATCTCCAAGATGCTGCTCCATCCCTGAAAGGGCTCAAGGATCTACCAGGGGTCTTGGAGCAACCTGGGCTGGGGGGAGGGATCCCTGCCCAGGCAGGGGGTGGGACTGAATGGTCTTTAGACCACGGAATGGGTTGGAAGGGACCTTCAAGCCCACCCAGATGCTCCCCTAGATGATCTCCAAGATGCTGCTCCATCCCTGAAAGGGCTCAAGGATCTACCAGGGGTCTTGGAGCAACCTGGGCTGGGGGGAGGGATCCCTGCCCAGGCAGGGGGTGGGACTGAATGGTCTTTAGACCACGGAATGGGTTGGAAGGGACCTTCAAGCCCACCCAGATGCTCCCCTAGATGATCTCCAAGATGCTGCTCCATCCCTGAAAGGGCTCAAGGATCTACCAGGGGTCTTGGAGCAACCTGGGCTGGGGGGAGGGATCCCTGCCCAGGCAGGGGGTGGGACTGAATGGTCTTTAGACCACGGAATGGGTTGGAAGGGACCTTCAAGCCCACCCAGATGCTCCCCTAGATGATCTCCAAGATGCTGCTCCATCCCTGAAAGGGCTCAAGGATCTACCAGGGGTCTTGGAGCAACCTGGGCTGGGGGGAGGGATCCCTGCCCAGGCAGGGGGTGGATTGAGATGCTCTTTGAGGTCCCTCCAACCCACCCCATTCCATGATTCTCTGATGCTCTTTGCTCTGATCTCCAAAACCTCATCTTCACCCCCCCTGTCTCCTCCCCAGGTGACTACTGGATCGACCCCAACCAGGGCTGCACCTTGGATGCCATCAAGGTTTTCTGCAACATGGAGACGGGCGAGACCTGTGTCTACCCCAACCCCAGCAGCATCCCCAGGAAGAACTGGTGGACCAGCAAGACCAAAGAGAAGAAGCACGTCTGGTTCGCCGAGACCATTAATGGTGGTTTCCATGTAAGTGTCCCTCCAAGGTGGGGCTGCACATGGGGAAGTTGAGCAGGGGTTGGGTGTATGGTTGGAGGGTTGGAGAGGTCCTTCCTTGGGGTTGGTTGTGTTGATGGAGGGTTGGGGATGTCCTTCCTTGGGGTTGGAGATGTCCTTCCTTCGGTTTGGGGATGAGATGTCCTTCCTTGGGGTTGGGGATGTCCTTCCTTGCCTT